TACAAATATGTGGTCCTCCTGTAGCACTGGCCTGCAGAGGATGTCTATTGACACGGCGACATTCCACCGATTCCTTATATTACCTCCGCTTCCTGGGAGCTGAAAGAACCTTCTCAGAACCAGGGGATTTTGGAAAGGAAGGTAATCAAGGGGTCACTTGCAACATTGATACAGGGACACAGTGAGGGTAGGAAGATGTCTGACTAGTCGGTCAGTAGAATCTGTATGACTCCCAGTCATGACTTTCCCACCTCCCAGAACTTCTGCCTGCCATAAGTGGCTCCATGAGACAATATAAAAGCAATACATTAAGAACCTGACCTAAGGCTGAGCCATGGTGGCGCACACCTTTAATCCCAGCCCTTGGGAGGCAGAGGCTGGCAGATCTCTATGAGTTCGAGGCCAGCCTGGGCTAAAAAGTGAGTTTCAGGACAGGCTCCAAAGCTACACAGAGAAACCCTTTCTGGAAAAACAAACAAAAACAAAAGAACCTGGCCATAACACGGTCTGTGCCTTTGCCAATGAAGAGCCCTCTCTAAACATACCGACAGCCACCAGTTTAGCCTATACATAGGCCTTCTTCAAATTCTGATACAGAGACAGCATGCCAGAGGGTCCAAGATGGATACAAACAATGCTGGCCACTTCCCTAACAAGCCTCATGACAGGAGTCTTTGGTGGGTACTGTGAGCAAAGGCTTTGGCTCCATGTAGGTTTGTCTGGTGCAGCTGGTGCACAGTTGATCCTTCAGGCTCTTCAGTGAGACACAAACAGGGGCGTGAACTCTGTAGACAGTTCATATAATCTTCTGCCACTCCCTCAGGCTTTGCTCTTAATCCCCTCCCTCTGTGACCTTGGGCAAGTCACTTGGCTTCCCTTATTGTTCATTTCTTTAACTCCGAAATGAAATAGATTGGGCTGAGTGGTGTTTACAGGACTCTCCATCAGTAGCTCCCTGTGGTTCCACAATTCTTATGAATCTAAGACAGAGTCCACCATTAACCCAGAGTAGGTCATCACTGTCAACCCAGCACTTGGGAAGCCGAGGCAAGAGAGTCATGAGTTTACAGCTAGCCTGGACTATATAGAATTCAAAGTCAACTTGAGCTATATAGCAAGACCCTATTTCAAAATAAAATAAAAATAGCGGATGGGTTTGGTGGCTCATGTTTATGCTATCAGAACTCAGGAGGATGAGACAGAAAGATTACCCCAAGTTTGAGGCCAGCCAGGGCTATATATTGGGTTCCAGACTAGCCTGGGCTATAGAGTAAAATTGAATTAAAAAAAAAAAGGCAGATGAAAGAAAGAAAGAAAGAAAGAAAGAAAGAAAGAAAGAAAGAAAGAAAGAAAGAGGGAGGGAGGGAGGGAGGGAGGGAGAGAGAGAGA